TTCGATAGAACTTTCCAAAGTTAGAAAAAATTGAAAATTTTACCATCACTGTAACAATGAGCAGTACGATGAATAATATAATATGAGTCAGCAAATATGGTATGCGATAACAAAATGGTTTTAAAAGTAAAGCTACCGAACCACTCAAAAGAAATATCGAAAAGTGTAGCACAGCATAATAAGTTTTCTGGCTTCTGGAAAACAAATGAAAACGAATGGAAAAAAAAAGACGAGAAATGATTTTTTTTTTTTTTTTAAATCGAACAGATAAGGTAAGAACTGAAAAAAAATCATGAGGACATTTCTGCAAGATACTGAATACTCGATTTTTATATCTTGAATTCTAAAACCGTGAACTAATGATTTCGAAACAATCCAAATTATTACAACACCGGTTACATATCAAAATCGTCAAGTTTTCGAGCAAAATATGTTGAAGACTAGAGAATTAGAAAAACACTGACCTTTTTAAAAAATTATTTGCATAAAAAACAGGTTTCGCATAAGGTAGGTAAGAAATTATAACTGCATAGAGCATTAAGGCATGAAACCAGATACTTCCAACTCCGTTGCATAGTCGTGCCCATTCTCGAATTTGATATCTAAAAATAAAGCGATTTTTTTCCACGTTTTCCAAAATTATGCATTATGCTCGATCTTTATAATACTTCCGATTCTCTACCGGTTTCATTAAGAATTTCCGGTTCAAACAAACTGTTGGTAATACAGGTGAAGAGTACAAAAATTTGCCGAAAAAGAATGTTTACTTGAACTTATGAAAGTAAAACTTACCGATAGTCTTTTCGTCTTTCTGTGCTTGGAAAGAGATTGATTACGTTAATTACATCAATTATAAGAGCAGCAATAGCCGATATTGTGCAAACAATCATTAAATTCAGTGTGAAATATTTGAAAAATCCATCCTTCACTTTTGCAAGTGTTAAATAAAAAATGAAAGGTATAATGAAGAAGTTACCAACCGTTGCAGTGTATGATATTAAGCGCTTTGCAGTATATAATTCTGCTAAACAAATTTTTGTAAGCAAAACAAAAAGTTTCACTTTTGCTTACTGTTTTATAATATTAGAGCGTAAAGTTGTAGCACAATTTATGAAAGTAAAGATAAACATGCTAAAAAATGTAAATTTATATATTTTGATGATACATTTTTAAAATTATTTCGTCCTTAAATTTATATCTTTCAGGTAAACTTCTCTGAGAGATTTTTGAACAATTCTTGAGAAAATTTTTGGACAGATTATAAACTTTTGAGCTCTAGAGCATTCGATCCATGAACAATCGAACTGATTATAGATGAATAATACGATTAGCTCGTAGTTATAAACTTACGGCACAAGAATCCCAAGCCTGAACACACAGACATTTTCGAATTATCAGTGTAGTTACTTCCATTAGAATAATAAATGCCGCTCATTTCACTGAAATTGATCATTTCTTCACGTTGTCAAAGAAATATTTAAGTTCAATACCATGTGATCTTTTATTTATATAAAAATCGTATGGCGGTCACTTTGACGAGTTGATTGGATGGAAGCGACATAAATGTGTCATACAAAACAATTGCAGAAGTTTCGAACAAAAAAATAAAAAAATAAAAAAATAATTACTGATTCTTCATATTTAGAATCACAATCCAACGAAAAATTCTTTTTTTCATTTCTAGTGTTTGCTAAACTTTGAACTGTAATTCAGTACAAAGCTTGGGTTTGATTTGAGAGTAAGTATGCAACTTTATTCTGATATTAGTCGAAAGATGTTAGCTCATCTTACACCTACTATTTTAACAGCACATGAAATGATGTATTTGATACTGATGACAGTTAATTAATGCAATAACAATTATTCAGCAATATCTTAATAAAATACCTTCATGGCACCTCTTTGTTTCGTGCGTCATTAGGATTATTTATCGCTCAGTAAGATATCATGAAAGTCATTAAAAAGTTCGTTAAGGTAATTAGCATAATGTTTGAAAAGATCTAGTTGCTATATGAATGTTGCAAGGTGGATTATGAGGTACAAATTTCGCTATCAATGGCAATTTGATATTTGATATTTTTTGATGATAATCTTTCTTGATGACATACACTAGAAGTGGGATGAAATTTCTTAACAAATTTAATCATAGATCTTATCATAAACATGGCTACATAATTTGCTGATAAAAATTATTATCGATCAGAATGGGGTGATAAATTTAGATTCAATGTACAGTAATGATAAATGCCAGTATCAAGGCACTGAGATGACAAAAGAAGAGTTACTCTGCAGCTTTTTAATAGTATCACCAATGAAAGTTTGAGACAAGTTTGAACTTCAATATGAAAAACCATTAAGCTGTGGAGTTTTTGTTATTATCAAAACGTTTCCGTAGAATGCGAACATTTAAAATTACTCTTTTTTCTAATACTTTAATAACTTTACTTGTCGTGAAGCTCGAAACAATCTCACAAACCTTCAGATAACTTATAAAATATATCAAATAAAATTGTATTAATCCATAATACTAAAATTTTTCTTAATTGAACATTAGAAATGTAAAACTGTTTCAAATTGCAATACGATATTCAACTGACAACAAAGGATATATGCATTGTTTAACATGTTAAAAACTACTCCTTTGTTCCAAATCAAATTTGCTTGCAATATTGTAAAGATTTTCCAAGCTAATAGTCATTCTTTGAGAAGCTACAATATTAAAACCCATTCCTTACTATATAAAGATCATCTGATAGTTCCTTATCAATAATCATGAGCTTGTTGCATGTATAAGGATTTAAATTTTTTCCTTCATCAGTTTCTTTACCAGTAAGCCACAATTCACTAAATTCCTCATCAATAATCCATCCATTTTCTTCATCTCATTCTAGAATGTCAGTAAAACCTAAATATTGTGTTGCTAGCAAATAAAATCACAAATGTTTCACTCAACGCATTCGCTTATACTAACTGCAATAACAAACAAGGAAGGCTAACAAAATCTAATTTGACTCTAAGGCATAAATTATATTTAGATTGAACCACAAATTTCACGACATTACTGGATTCCTTGTTTTTCTAGAATTTCTCGCTTAAAAAATCGCAAAACTTCATACCTCGTAGCTTTTTTATTTGTTTAGCTTGTTTCCCTCACGACCATAACGCATAATGTAATAGGAAAAGCCTTAAAGCTGAGGCCCAGTAAGGAAAACGATGCATTCGAGATGTACAATATCACTACTACAACAGAAAATCACTCGGATGCTCAGAATCAGTGGTTCTAGCTTGGCCCATAGCTCATATAACTTCAAACTTTGACCCAAAACCATAAATACGGTATATTTTAATACAAAGATTGGATCAAAAAGAATGTGCAAATAATCTTTTACCAAAGCAATGAAGGAAAAAGACGCATTATGATATGATATCAATGATATAATATCATTTCAAAACAAAGAGTGGGTCACAAAGCTGACAAAGGGGAATTTCTAGAATCATTTTAAAAAGGAGAGCGAATATATAAAGAGAGAATGACGACAAAGCTCTCTTTTGGCATTCTGTGGACAATGTTTGAAGCATTATTGAAATTGTCGCATGATAAAGCGTTCTTCATCAGTTAATATTCTAAAATAAATGATTGAAAATCTGGACTGAAAATAATACTGGTTCAAAAGAATTTTGAAGCCTTTATATCTCTCAAAATTAAAAGTAAGAAAAACAGAATATTATTTTAAATATTTCACTTAAGTAATCAAGAATTAAAGCAATGCGATTAAGCACAAAATAGCTTATTCACTTACACTTTTTGTTTTTAACGTTGCGATATTGCTATGCACAAACATTGCGATGTTATTGATATTGTTGACATTAATAGCGTTTAGTGGTTGAACTTTTGTGATTGACAACCTTTGCTTTTGAAATATTGAAAGGATTGCATGGCGATAAGGTTCAAGAGCGACAATGGTACTTAGACCGATGGCAATTGAACTGGACTGAAATAAAATGGAATTGAAAAACACAATGGAATATAATATCCTCAAAGTATGTTCACTAATGAATTTTACCTCGTAGAAAATACGAATCATTGTACTCATAACGCTGTAGAATACCGTTCCTTTAATTTGACATTGGCATCGAATAGAAGCGCAAATTACTATTACGAATGAGGCAACTGCAATAATTTTTGGCAAATTATTTTGTATAATAATTTCTCTCAGTTTGATTTTAATTTCTGTGTGAAACATTACTGAGTATAATAATTCATATATTTAGTAGTAAATTATTCAATAATAGGAATAAACTGTAGCAAAGCTCACAAAAACGTGGTAAAACAACAATTTCAGTGGCGTAGCTGTAAATAACAAATGAAAATAAACGTTTCCGTCTTAAATTCCTAAGACAAACAGCGCTTACTCCGGGCGGTTTATATTTATAAATTTCAACGGATGCCTGAAGAAATAATTATTTAAGAGGCAATTTCTAATTCGAATTAATTGATATTGACAAATATAAATATGCATTAAATTTCTACCTAAAATGTACTGTATTTTAGTGTTTGAATTAGTACTGATAATCTCATCGAAATCAAAATTCAATCTTAATACTGCAACTTTTTTGATTTTTTTATCTTCGATAATTTACAAGATTTAACCATCACAGCAACAGTGAACAAAGCGATGAATAATGTAAGATGCGTCAGGTGATATGGCATAACAATTGAAAATTGTTCTTTAATAAAACATATGCAACTGTTCCACAAAAATAGCGATATATGAAGAATGACATAATGAAGTTTTTGACTCCTAAAAAGATTGCTTATTATTCGATTAGCAATTAATGTAGCTTAATTAGCAGATTATATTTCTTGATAAAAAAGTTAACAGATTATATTTCCTGATTAAATTGATCGCCTTAAAAAGTTGCTACTGCAAAAATTTTTTTTCAAAAATTTGAAATTCATGGACTTTGCAATTATATATTTCATTGAAATGATAACGAACTCACTTGTTTACAAAATGTTTCGTATAGAAAATTGGATTAGCATAAGGTAAATAACAAATAACAGCTGCATACAGAGCTAAGGCATGAAACCAAATATTTCCGGATCTGAGACAGTTCAATGCCCAGTATCGAATTTGATACCTGTAAATATTGATGCTTGTCTTTTTTCTCTTTTTTTTTGTTTAATATTTTAAAACATTTCACCAATATTTGAATATCTTGTAGAATTTAATTATTTTATTGTGTGCAGAATGGATTTTAGACGCAATAAAAAAAAAAAAAAAAAAAAAAAAACGTTCTTTTCTTTAATTAAACAGTATAATAATTAAGATTTTCGAAGATAAAGCAAAACTAACAAGTTTTTTTTATTTTCGCCTACGTCAGCGAAAAGATTTATAATGTATATTATATCTGCTACAAAATCAGCTAAAGTTATTACGGAGCAAATTGCCATTAAATTAAGCGTAAAATATTTAAATAAGCCATCCTTCACTTTTGCAATTGATAAATAAATCAAAAGTGGTATAATTATAAAATCAGCAACTGTTGTAATGTGTGAAACGAGTTGCATCGCAGTGTATAAGGCTGCTAAAAATCTTAAACAAAAAACAAACATTACTGAAATTTATGGTTATTTTAATTAATATTATGTATGAGTTAATTGTTAATTTTCAAGATACTCTTTTTTTTTAAAAAAAAAAAAAAAAAAGAAAAAAATAAGAGATGGAACAATTTACTGTGAAGATAATTGATCATATCAATATAAACTCTTTAAAAGATTTTGAAATTTGGCAAAATTTTCAAACCAGTAATCAAAACCAATTAATCTGCTAAAAGAAGTTCCAAAACTTTTATGATGTCGCAGAACTTTTACTTTTGAATTTATCGAAAGATAAATGTACTATTCAATTATTCACAACAATTCAAAACTTACGACATGAAAGACCCTTCTGAGCACATATTGGTCTCTCAGTAGTATTAACTTCACCGTGATGAAGACTACCGTTACTGTTATCGTTGAAAAATAATGCATAAGACATTGATATCAGATAGTATAAATTAGTAATATCAGAAGTTCATTTCATCTCTGTTAAAAATTTGCTAAAAATAACTCATACAGCTATGAATTGAGTGTAAATTTAAATATACAAAATCGGAACAATAAAATAATATGGATGCCTGAAGCCAGGAATATTAATGTAATGTTATTTGATACAAAAAGCAAAAATTTAATTTATATTTGAATTAACAAATAATGTTATGAAATGAAAATAGAATTGACGGATTCCTTGACTGATACTCCAAAATATTTTTTTATTGCCATAAATCAGTTTGTCATTCTTATCACTTTGAGCTAACTAATTATTTAATTATGGAAAAAAAAGAAGAGGTAAGTTTTAAAAGAAAACAAAAGATCATTTAGTTTAGACTTTTTTATTGAGAGTTAATTTTATTGAAATAATGAAGAAAAGTTAATTTGTCGTATTAGATAAAGGAAGAATGTATGATATAAAATTTATGTTTAAATGTAATTAAAAGCTTATATCATTGAACAATGGTAGGAATTATTTATGAAGTTTTGTGCTGCATAAATAAGCTTAGTAAAAATCAAATATTCATCAAAAGCAGCTGAATTTTATTATTTGTATAGTTTAGAAATAAAACCAAAAGATATTGAAAAATAACGAAAAGAAAAAATATGTTTTCATCCAATGAAAAAAAAAAAAAAAAGAGAGAGAGAATGAATTGCTTAATGAAAATATGTGAATTGTTTGAGCTTTTTAATTGAGATCGAAATGTTCATTATGGAATATTGAAAATTTAGTTGTTAGTTTAGTTAGACAATTAAGAAATCAAAGGGAATTTTTCAACATCTAAGGGTTATCATTCTATTGCAAGACTATATTATTAGCTAAAAAATAAACGTAGAGATAATGGTATTACTTTAAAAAGAAGTAGAAAGTTTATTGTATCTTTAGGTAGTAAATTTGAAAAAAAAAAAAAAACAAGAGATTAGTGTAATTTGTTGTTTTTTTTTTTATATAATCAAATAACATTTCACAGAAATAAATGCTTGTTGATTTTATTTCTAAAAATTGCATATTGAATAAAAATGATTATCAAAAGGAATCAGAATATTCAGAAAAAAGCTTGCCAGTTTTTTTCTTTTTTTTTTTTTTTTTTTTTTTTAAATAGAGTAAATTTATACGAATAAAACCTTGTAATGTCATTAATAATTATTCAATTAAAATTTATCCATGATAATTAATTTTATTATTGAAATCAACAACTTATTGTTCACTGAGCATTTTCGCAAAATATTTTCATGCGAATCATTGGAATATCAATTAAAATAAGTTATTTCAATTACTATCACAAAATCCTATTTAATTATTATTCATTGCAATTATTAATTACATTAATCAATGAAGCTATTAATTAAATGAAACATTAGTAAATCACATTAAATTCTTGGATATCAAACTATTGCAAATTATAAACTGGAAAACAACTCAAAAATTTTTGACAAATTTTTGACAATTATTTTCTTTTTAAAAATAATCCCACTATCATATTTATTCATTCAATGCAGTACCAATTTTATTGCAAATAAATTAATTTATTGTAGAATGAATCAATGACCAAAATGCTACTTTGCCAATTCTTTTTATTTGCACAATTTCTCATATAGATAAATTAATTTAGTGTGAAATTAATTATTATATTAATCTATTATCATACTTTTCATTTTTAAATCTGTTATCAAAATTTTTTATTATCAAAATCAAAAAAAATTCATTTTTAAATCTGTTATCAGTTTTATAATAATGTCTGTAATTAAAACATAAAATCATATTTTTAAACGACAAATTAATTAGATAATTTGGCATAAAATATTTTTCCGCAATAACAATAATAATAACAACTAATAATAGTAATAATTAATAACAATAATAATAACAATTAAGAACAACAATAATACTAATTAAGAACAATTACAATATTGAATAGTAACAATATTATTATTAGTAATAATAATAATAATAATAATAATAATAATAATAATAATAATAATAATAATAATAATAATAATAATAATAATAATAATAATAATAATAATAATAATAATAATAGTAATAATAATAATAATAATAATAATAGTAATAATAATAATAAACTCTTACTACTTACACATTTAGATTTTTATTATATATATACACCTTTCATTAAAAATGAGAAAAGTTCTGGATTGAACTCATTTTCGATGAATATTAAATATTCCATTATATATATAAGTATATCATTACTATCGATCGTAAGTGATCTCGCTCAATTATCTATGACTTTGATCGAAATGAAAAATAAAACAATTCTTTTAAGAGCCCTAAAACCTGTAATTTGTATTTTCTATTCATATTAGAAAAATTAAAACGTAGAATTTAACTTGTAAAGCTTATTATTAAGAAAAAAATAATAATATTGAAAATATTATTGAAGACAAATGCATAATCGCAATCATAGAAATTATTAATAAAAACATGTTTTTTAGCACAAATATAATTGAGTAAAAATTGATGAACACTTTGTCTCTTCTTTACTACTATTTATCTGCTCACAACTCACTATTGAATTATAAAATTATCCTTTTAATTGATTTATTTTGTATATATCATCCTAAAATACTCATTATTCTAACTTATTATTTCGGTTCATCTCCTAAGTAATGTTCGATTCTAGATGAAAATTCGTTGTATATTATACTAAAATGCCTTGTTTTCGTTTGCTCACTATAAAACTGCAATTTTCAAACTTTTGAAATTGACATCAAATAAGCAACACAAGCCAATAATTTATTATTGAACAGTATGAAACAAGCAGCCGTATACAATTTTGCGAGAACTATCAATTCAAGAAAAAAACAAAACAAATATTTCCAGAAATGGGCGAGAAACTTAGCAGCTCAAAAAAGATCTCCAGTGAACGATGATTAACAATAATAATTAGACTGAACCAGTGTCGAATCTATCAACAACCTCGTAAAATTTTCTGAGATATCACTGTCATTGGGTCTATTGATATAAAAAGATAAGCCTAGTTGAGTACCTTTTTTTCACTCACCTGTTCCATCAATACAAATTTATATTACAGATTCTGGAAAAGATGTACACCGGTCTAGAACTGAATGCATTCAAATTGAGAATAAATTTCACATAAACAACAAGACATTAAATAACAAAATAAGTTAGCCATAAAAAAAAAACTAAAGAAATGACCGATGAAACCTACTATGAAGAAATAAATACAAAATCTATTATGAAGAAATAATAAATACAATGAAAAAAAGAGAATTTAACAGAAAAGAAAAAGATTACGAAAAATATAGAAGTAAAAAACCCTGGCCTCTTACTGACCAGAAAAAAAGGACCCATTATTTAATTCAAAACAATTCAGGATCAGTCAGTGATAACTATTAGTAGTACATAAGATTAATGCCCACAATGAATAAATAACATTCAAATAAAAATATGACACACGAAATAAAAAACCTGGAAAAAAAATATAAATGCTGCATTATAAGTTCCACTTACAAGAAATCACTCATGTGATAAATCAGTGGAAAAAACTATCAAAATTGGAAATTCTAACTATGAAAAACAAGTATCAATTTTCAATAATTTTTAATTCTTACTTGTCTTGCATTAAGATTTCTTCAGCTTAAAAAAAAATTCTTACTGATTGTTCAAATTTCTGAAACAATCAATGTTTCGTCATCTGTCAGAAGTAAAACTGTGTCTTCCACTTATTCAATATAATCAATGGTTTATGCCTATTTCGTTAACTGTCACAAACTTTATCTTTCACTAAATCTTCCAAGACAAAATACCAAAATCAAATCCTGCTAATGAGGCATGTATTTTTTTACTATCCATTAAGTCATGAATGTGCATTTTAAAAATGTACGATAGATAATATTTGGAAAGAAAATTTTTGGCATCTAATCATTTTTCATCCATCGGTTCAAAAATATTTCTAAAGACCAAGTCATTTTTTACAGTATGAATAAAAAATGTACATACAAAGAATTAAAAAATAAATGAAAATATTCAATCATAACAATACCAAACGCGTACCATATAAACACATGAGAAAGTGCAAACGACAAATGCATGAAGCAATCTCTAGAAGAGAGCAAACATAACCGGTGAAATTTCAATCTTGAAACTTCCCATGCAGAAAATTAACAAATCCTAAATTTCTATTATCGTGGAATTTTATGTTTACGAATCTTACATTCAAGGATCATACATATTTCCATGCCTTATTCGATTTGGAAGAAAATAATGAAATAGGAATGCAAATTAAAACTTTTTACTAATGAGTGGAAAAAAAAAGTTAGCCATATTTCAATACTATTCAGTCTTTTAGACATTATACTCCGTCCTTAATACTTGATATGTTCTTTCAACTAGGAATATTCCTAAAAATTTATTAAACTAGCTCATTATTAACTCAAAAAAACCTGATAATTAAAAGACCGGATAAAAAGGCCTAACGATGAGTTCTTCAATTTTGAAAAGGATGAAAAGTAAAACTCATGGAAAAAAACTAAAAACATATAATATGCCATCATGTCTGAGTATATTTTATTTTTGGAATCATTTTTCGAAATCAGTCCATCAAAAAATTTTAGAAAATCATTTTGACGGCTTCTTGTTAGGACTGACCGATGAAACCAATTGCTGTGATAAATAATTGGAGAGATCATGATGTGACTGAGCTTGAGGAGAAAGGACATCTACTTCTAAGGGTGAATCATTCCGCAAACATTCCCCTACACCGCTCAAGTGGCAAACACAACATGCTTCACGTGTTTTCAGCAAAGCTGTAACTCTTTCCAGTTCACGACGCAGTATTTGATTCTGAGTCTGCAAAAAATTTACTAAATTTTCGGGTTAAAAAAATACTAAATGTTTAATCAAAATACGAAATGCACTAATTAGAAATTTAAACCAGTTAATATTTGATTTGAATCCTACAA